GGTCAGTTCATTAATTGTACTAATGATTATTATCGTCCTGGGTGCGTTCCGAAAAAATATTTTTCTACTACCTTGTCTTATTCTTTATAAACGCTTGATCACGAAGTATGCTCTCATTCGAGTTTATTTTTCGTGGTTACTGTGCCTGGTGAACACCGTAAATTTTTTTGATGAACACGAGCTAGTCTCTCACAACCACATGTGTCTCCAGTCGTTGGCACTAGAAACTTAGTGCTTTATTTATACGGTTAGCAGGTAGCCCATGGCGTAGACAGAAGCGCTGAGTCTGTCACTTGAAAGTGCATAGGCTCCTTTGAAATCGCGCCGGTTGCGGCCTTCGGGTTCCGCACCATATAAGTCCCAAAGCGCACTTCATTTACCCTCACATAGGCAGGCGTTGCTCAGTGCGACGCCACGGCACGCAAGCTGCCACGCTTAACATCATAGGTCACGGTACACTGAGGTGATAAGCACGCAGCCATTCGTTGGCGGTTAAGAAGCCCACAAAAGTCGACGTCGAGTTACTTCAGCCCTCAACAGAAACTGCTCAGCTGTAGGCTGTTACTTTACGATGCAGCAACAGGCCCCTAGTAGTCTCTCGAAAGATAGCGACAGTGAGGTGTCTTCGCGGGAAGATGACCCAAAGAAACCTCGAAACCCCTGCCTCCGATTTCTACGTGACAACATATTCATGCTGCTCATCCTCGTGGGCGTCGCTGTCGGTTTTGGCGTGGGATTTGGAGCGAAAAAGTTGACGGATGTGGTTCTCGCGGAAACCTGGATTAGTGAGTCTTTTGGCTCTAAACTTAACGATGTCCCTTATTGTAATAAATGGTGTTTTTGTAGAAAAAATACTTATCATAAATTCTCATGAAAAAGCAAACATATCAAGCGTTGATAGAATCATTTATGAGATATATGACCGTCAGATTTAAATCTAATTTAAAACAGTATTTTCAAATTGCATTGCAGGCGAGGTTTTAACTGACAGTAGTGACTTTAAATGATACTGTTTAATTGAAAATTGTAAGATTATCCGCAATGATCCCGCAGAAGTTAGTGGAATCGGCACATAAAGCAAGGGATAAATGAATTAAATTGATCAATCAAAGATTACTTTACTGAATATTTCTCCCCTGTTTCCAAATTTATAACCTTGGCATTACCGTAATCCGTTTAGTTTTTGTTTAATCCCAGATTTCCTATTCACATGTTTATACGTTTTTCAGAAATGCCCGGTGATCTTTATATACGACTTCTACAACTGGCCATCTTGCCCCTAATTTCGTCTAATCTGATAATAGGTAAGCCGTTGTCTCAGTTGCCACACTTTTTAAAAGACCTGCAAAGATCTCCAGCTAGCAGTACGATTATTTATGCTGATGGTTGACTTCTCTTGCTCATTTTGCCCCTGCTTCGTATATCAAATTAAGGCTTTCAGAACAACAATATATAAATCAATATATATGTATATATATACTAACACGCTTAGTTGTTCGTCGGTCATGGAAAAGACCCCACACAAATTTAAAATGATGACCTCGTTTAAGAAAAACGTAACGCACTGACTCTCCTCAAGCCCTACTTGTTGTATTTTTAAGCGTATCATTATTTATATATTTCCTGTAATGACCCAACTTACGTCACCCCCATCTTATCTCCTTATGTATGAGGACCTTTGGTGGTTTTTTCCTTGCTTGCACAAACATCACCATATATACATATGTATTAATACGCTTAGCCATTCTTCGGTCATTAACTAAACCCCGTACAAATCCAAACAACGGCTATCATTTAAGGAAAAAATAATGCCTAAACTGCTTTTGGAACCTTGTTGTTCTATTCTCTGTAAGTGTTAGTTTATTTAATTGTTTCATGTAATAACGAAAGATAATTCACTTCTTTCTTAACTTCTTATAAATTCCATTTACAAGGACCATTTGTGATTATTTTATTACTTAGACTTCGAAATCTCTTAACAGTAAAAATATTTCCTTGCATTTGAAAGTGGAATGCTTGATAAAACAATGTACTTCCGCTTAGCCGATGAATTTTATTCTACCTTAAACCTCTGTAGTTACAATCAATGAAAACCAACTCAGATCGTCTGGTACTTATCAAAGTAGACTTAGCACTTCACTTCATATTTATTACACCTGAGTGCCTTAAGGTCAGAACCTAAAGGCCAATGCAGGTCCAATTTCATGCAGATAAAAAATCTTCATTTGCTCGTAGTTAGTTAGAGGGGGAAATATAAACATCGGCTTCGCCTCCAGACACTGAAGGACTTCCTACGGGGCAAGTAAGATATAAGCATTCGGAAATGGCTCTAAAAACACTGATAGCTAAACGAATTTTCTAGAAATAATCATATTCCTGGCAAACAGGAACACCTATCATGTTACTCTGACGATGGAAACAAGCGATTTTCCGAAACGTCGGTCTTAATATATCTCGGTCCATGATCTTTGAGGGATGATGAAAGCGATCATTTTCATAAATATTTGCATCAATATAATAAATATCCCACAAGAATGCAGCGCAACTGAAGCGTAGTTCATATAAAATTGCTTTGAGAAATTACAAAGTTGTGCCAAAAAGTCGTAGTCACATGATTCTTCCTTTTTATCCCTTTAGATCTAAAATAAGGTCTTATAAAATTCTTCACACCCCAGTAGGGTATTATTCATTAATCAAAAACCCTGTCGACTAGGACTGTGATGATCTTTCCGAGTTTATATGTAGCCATCAGCTAGTCGTGCCTCAACTCATGCCCAGAACTCGGACACGGATAATTTTTACTTAAATAAATGAGTCTTCTAGTCTCCTTTAAACCCGTGTTCTTTAAACTTATTGCTCATTTTGAAGTCCACCTTCCAAATAGGATAAAGCACTGCGTGTTTTTAAGTAACATAATTTTAACTAAGAAAATATTTCCCTGAAAACTATGCCTGGAAAACTAGGGTAGCCTATATAGTTGCTGCGAGACTGTAGTTGGCATGGCCCTTCGTAAAGTCTTAGTCGAGAGAATATTATATGCGTTTTAATTGGCAAATATTCAATAGCGACTTACAAAACTAATATGCCGAAAATATTTTAGTCAAAATATGCACGACAAGTTGTTGTCCGTTCTGAAACCAATCCCCCTGTTAAACGTCCTAAATGCAGTCAATAATTAGTAACCTTTAAATCAAACTTCTAGATAAATTTCAACTTTCCGTATAGAAAATTTTAATCTCAAAGCAGTTGACTTTCTGATTGAGTTAGAGTGAATCGGAGACATTTCATAAAAAATGGGAAAATTTATTTATGACTAAGGATCCCACGATAATCTTATGTTTAAAAGTTAAAAGTCATATCCATATTAGAATACTATATTTTAGATTTGACCGAGTCATTGTTCTGTCCATTCCCCTATACCCAACATCCCAAAATCAGAACCTGATTGTGAAATGCGATGCCTACCACGCCAAAAGGGATGTTATTAGCTTAAACATTCAGTCAAGAAGTTGTTTACTGCATTAGTTTCCTCGAAAAGCAATCAACATTCTTTCCTAATGCTTTTTTGGATAATTCGTAAAGCCCGCCACCTTGTTGACTTTACGCGCTGCCACGATCTCTAGCCTCGTCATTTTTCCGAATTTCAGTTTTCTCTACATAGCTTTGGATTTTGAGAATATAGCCCAGATTATGATATTTTGTTCAGTA